TTCGTGGATATATTTTAATTTGGTTTTTATTATTGTTTTTTCAAAAATATCAAATTGAATGTTTATTTTTATTTTTTTTATATTATAGTAATAATTAATTTTACATTCAAAACCTATTGATACATATTTATTTCATATCAAATAATTATTTTAACTCAATATTTTATTATTCAAAATTGAAATTCAATATCAAATTCCACAAACAAACATAGCCTAATATATTTATAAATTAATAAAATTAAGATTACTAATACATATTTTGCAATATTTGTAATTAAAATATGGTTCATTTAAAACTACAAAGTTTTGAATATTAAATATATTCTATATTATGTTATATTAACATATTATTTTTATCCAATCGGATTTTTTCTTTTTCTATTTTCTTCAAATATTTTTTCAAAAATATTAATACAATTTACGCTCATTATTTTTATATTTTCTATACAATTTTTTATACTTCATATAAAAAGAAAAATTATTTTCCAATAATCTGAACAAACTCACCCACATACTCCATCAATGAATATTTTATGTTATCTTATGTTTTATTTATTTATTTTAATTTATACTTTATTTACGTAGAGAATTTTAAAACCCACATCATTATTCATCAATGGTATTTAAGTATAAATATATATATATAACATCAATTTTTTTTTCTAATATCACAAAATATCATATTAAATTTATAATTAATTACTATTATCAAATTTTGTTAAAACTTCAAAATTTCTGTATAAACACAAATCTTTTAAAAGCCGTATAATTGTTGTGTTTTTTGTTAGAATTTTTACAAGACTTTAATTATTTAATTTTTTTTTCTATAAAAAACATCAAATTAAAATTTTATTATTATTTTTTATATTATATTAAAAATTAATTTTACATTTAAAATATCATATCTACGTTTATTTATATAAAACTAAACAATTTTTCAAATTAAATTTTTTACTATTAAAAAATTTAAACTTAAAATTTAAATCCACGGACAAACTATCCAACTATACCATTTTTCTAACATGAAACAATATATCAATTTAACCTAGATAATTTTAAAAATAAAGATACAAAATGAAAATAAATGCACAACCAAAATACCCTCCTCAATTTGTTTTTAATAGTATTAGGGTTTGTTGCTGCAACAGTACCTCGGTCCAATTTCTATTATCCTAAAGTATATTTGCACGATTTTTTAGGTGATTATTTTTTTGTTATGAATTGACAAATTTGCCCTTAATTGTATGGTAGAGATGAAACATAATAAATGAATAAATGATAAAACTGTAAAATTTGTGTTTAAAAAAAAAATAGGACAATAGTTGTTGAACGTCCAAAATAGAAAAGTAGGACATTAGTTTGTGGACGTAATGAGTATTATTTTTTATATATAATTTCTCATCCTATCATATCCTATCATATATATATATATATAATTATAGCACAAGGATGTGGATCCCACCTCTCAAATTCCCGACTTTTCATTTTTTTGGGTTTTTAAAATTTTTTTAATGGAACTTTTTCATAATGGAATAGTGGAGTAGTTTCTTAATTTACTTTTTTTTTTTTTTTTTTTAATTCAGTGTGTATATCATACTTTGAAAAAATATAGATAATACGAATGCATATATCTATTCTCTCAATGATTTAGCAAAATCAGAATATTGGCAATTAGCCTCCGACGTTGGATTTCGGGAAGGTGTGTTGAAAGTTCGACAAAAATTCGGCAAGAATTTGGTGACTCTTCCTTCTACTCATACTATTTTTATTTTCAAATGCGCTCTTTTTGAAAAAATTGCTTTATTTTTAGGATAAATTTGATTTTTAATATATTTTGCAGATAAATTACGATATAAATAATAAAAAGAAGGTAATCACATAATATCTATTAATATTTTTAATATATTTTCTAGATATTTTCTATTTTATTTGTTTTGCAGATATATCACGATCTATTGAAGAAGAAAAATGTAACACATAATATTCATTTGATATATTTTATAGATATTTTTTTTATTTATTTTGCAGATAAACTACGATATTAAGAAGAAGGTAAACATATAAAATCTATTAATATTTTTAATATATTTTGTAGATATTTTATATTTTATCTATTTTGCAGATAAATCACTATCTATTGAAGAAAAAACGAGGTAACATATAATATTCATTTATGATAAAATTTGCAGATATTTTTTTATTTGTTTTGATTATGTAAAGAATAAGAAAAAAATAAACATATAATATTCATTAATATTTTTAATATATTTTGTAGATATTTTTTACTTTATTTATTTTGTAAATAAATCAGGAAAAAAGGTAAACCTATAATATTCATATAATAAAGTATAAATATAATATTCATATAAAGATATATTAAATAATATAATTATATTTTATATTTAATCTATAAAAATTTTATTTTATTTTTTATTTGTATTATTTTATATAAAGATATTGAATAATATAATATTATTTTATGTAATGTTTCAGATTTTTATTTTATTTTTTATTTTTGGTATATTTTGATTTTTACAGATTTTAAAAATTATAATTAAAATTAAATTTATTTATTTTATTTTTAGTATTAATTATGAGTAATCATTTTATATTTTAAGATTGATAAACAACAATTTATATAAAAATACAAATATATAAATACATGAGATAATATTAATTATTTTCTAAATATTAATTTTTTTTAATATCATTTTTTTTCTTATTTAATATAAATTACTTTTTTATTTTAAATAAAAAAATATAAACAATATTTATTTGTTAAAGATTGTTTTATTTTATTTATTTTTCTTATTTTCTTAATTATATTTTATATATTTTTATCATTCAAATATTTTATTTGATATAAATTAATTATATATTATTCAAAATTAAATTTATATATTCATTAATTTAATATAAATCTTAGTGATAGATTCAATTGAAATTAAATGTGTATTTTTATGTTTTTATTTTTATTTTTTATTTCAATAATTTGAAATAATTCTATTTTATGTTACATTTTATAAATTGTAGTTTGTTATTTTTTAAATATAAATAGAAATAAAAATATAACATTCATAATAAATATAATTATTTGATATATTTTGCAATTTTTATAATTTTGAATCAATCTTATATGATTATCTACTAATAATTTCATATATATTAAATTGATAGTTTACTTATTTCAATATCTGCAATATATAATTAAAATAAATAATTATTTATTATTATGCTAAATTAAAATTAAATGTAAAAAATAAGTTTTAATAATAAATATAATTAATTATTTTAATTTTTATCAAATAAAAATTAACATTTAACATACATGTATATGTAACATTATTTTAAAATAATAATTATTTATACTTTATTTATTATTTTTTTAAATATTTTAGTAAATATTATTAAAAAATACAATATATAAATTAATAATATTATTTTATTTATTTAAAAAATAAAATAATAATTCCATACATAATATTAAATTTATATTACTCTATACACTTAATACTCCTATAAAAAACAGAATTATACAAGGTGAACACTCTTTGATTAATAACGCGATATTTAAGAAATAATATAATTTAATAAGTTAATAATAATAGATTCTGATAAAAATTACTCCCTTCCTCCCAAACACCTGCAATATTTCCTTTTTTGTTTGTCTCAATCTCATTGCAATATTTTCAAATTTAAAAATAATTAATAATATTTATATACATATATTGATATACACTTCACTTTATCACATTACATCAATCAAATAAAAAAAAATTATTATTTCTCTCTCCAATCACATCACTTAATATCCAAATTATCTCAAATTACCATACATAATACTCCTCACCTAAATTATCATGTCAAATACAAATGTTGCATGGTGTTTGGGACGGAGAGAGTAATATATAATTAAAAAATAAAATATGTATTTAAATATTTTAAACACTATTTTTTAATAAAATGTATACAATATATTACTATAATACAATTAAATAAATTACTATTTACTTATTTATTTATAATTAAAATAAATTAATTTTATAAAAAAAAATATGAAATTTTACATATAAATAAAAGTGTTTATCTATTGAAGGAAAGAAATAGAATTAAACCAATTTTGAGCAAATCCCATGTAAAGCATATTAAGAATTTAATTAAGTTAATTGAATAGAAATATAAAAATAAAATAACTTTGAGTGTGTCCTATATGAAATTTAAAAATTTTTAGTTAAATTAATTAATATTAATTAAAAATATTTAATATTTATAAATTTACTAAAAAAAATACGGCTATTATAAAATTACTAAAATAAAAAATATATCAATAATTATAAAACAGAACAGTATAATATTAAGGAGAGTTTATTATTTAAAACAATAATAATAATGGGAGAGTATAATATTAGGGATAGTTTATTATTATTAATATTCCCTCCGTCTTAATATAATAGTTTTGTTTATTATTTTTGTTTATTATAAAATAATAGTCTCATTTTTATAAATACTCATATCATTATAAAATTATTCATATATTTTCATTATTATTACATAAATATCACTATTTTTTATATTAATACATTCGTAAAGACAAAGAAATTTTTTACTTATACTTTTTATCAACTATTTATATAATATTAATATTTTTTAAATATAATGTCATGAAATCATAGTTTTGGAACTGAGGATTAATAAATTTAAATATCAATCAAAACTCATCGTATCTCAAAGCACGTGTAGACCACGAACGCTCTGGACCGAGGTTAACGCAAAAGACACCGAGGATGAAATTACAATAACGCCCTCCTGCGTGACACTATGTTCTCTAATCTTTTAAGGGTATTTTAGACAATTCAGAAAAATGCTGGATCAGAAAACAGGTGGAGCCAAAATATTATCCAGTGGCATTATCGATATTAATTACAAAACGAAGGGCATCAAATAAATCTGAACTCCTATAAAATACAGAATCCGTAGTGCACAATCCCTTCGCCCCCACATTTGCCCCTCTCTATAAAAACCTCCTTTTCTCTCCTCCCTAAACTTTTCCGCCTCCTCCATCGCCGCCGCTGTCCACGGCGGAGCCACCACTCCCGCCGCCGTCTCTCCGCCTAGATCCGCCGTCTGCGTCTCCGATTTCGAGTTTTTTAAATTAATTTCGTTTTTCTCTTTCAAATCCGTCTATTGAAAATTTTCAGTAATTTTAGTTTTTTTTTTCTCGAAATTTTTGTTGTTTTTTTATATTTAGATTTAATTTTTTTACTGTTTCCATATTTTTCTGCGTCAATAAAGACGCAATTTATCTGTTTTTTTTGGTCTTCCTTTCGTTAAATATTACTAAACCGGGTTTTTTTTTGGCCGTTTTGTTGCAATGAAAAATTAATTATCTTTTGTATAAGTATTTATTAATTTTCTTATTTTTTAAATTTTCGTGAACCGACTTTTTATGCCCATTAAGAATCTCGCTGACGTGGCACCTTACTCTTTCCCATTATTCCCGAATAAAACGGACGGTCACGATGAGCTATAACGCGCGTAGAATAGTAACGCCCGGGCCGTCACGGAAGCGGAAAGAAAGGGAGGTGTTTTATTCTGCCACGTCACCAAGATCGTTAGCGCCAGTAACGTCCGTTAGTGGGTCAGTTCAAGCTACGACTTCCCAGGCAGCCGTGCAGCCGCCGCTCTCATCCAATCGGCTCCTAGCCGGCTACATGGCTCACGAATTCCTGAACAAGGGCACGCTGTTCGGGCAGAAATTCGACCCGGCTCGAGCCGAGGCCGTGCCGGTCAGCTCGGCGGATCCGAAGAGAAGCAAGCAGAGTCAAAGCCAGGCCCAGATGTACACAGAAGCCGAACCCACTGGCAAGCCGAAGCCGAAGCCAAACCCGAACCCGAATCCGACGCCCAATGGATATGCTGAGGTGGCACATTTACTGAAGAGCGACGGAGCACATATACCGGGTGTAGTGAACCCCACCCAGCTAGGCAGGTGGCTCCAGCTGTGACTTCCTAGGACACGTGGAGAGCTGTGATTGGGTGGCATTTGAGATCTCGCGTCATACCGCGCCGTAGCGTATAAAATCTCCTCTCCTCTTCCTCCTCCTCCTCCTTCAGGTGATGTGTACGGGCAAATAGGAGTTCAAATTTTCTGCTGCTCTGAACATCCAAAACCCTCACATAATTTCGTGTTTTATTTTCTTCTTCTTCCTCTTTAAATTTACTCTTACATTAATCTCCAACATTTTCGGTTTTCGTATTAAAAAAAAAAAAATAAATTGTTGATCTGCTTTGGTATGTGAATATATAAATATTATTGCATGCATGTGATATTTTGATTAGGTTATATATGCCCATAAAAATTTCTATTTGGCTGTGTGAATTTAGGGATTATTTTGTCTACCCTTTTCTGATTGAACTTGGATCAGATGTATGCATATATATATATATATGTATATTTAGATAGTTGTAATGTAGAGATGTGAAAAGCTACATTGAGAATTTGGACAAGATAAGTTGAACCTCGTTATTTGGAGCATGTCGGAATATAATGCATCAAAATGATACTATGTTTTAGGGCTCCATTAATCTCATACTAACTTTCATATCTTATCGCTCTGATACTTCGGGTGTGTTCGGTTGTAAAATTTTAACAAAATTCTACTATTCATCCCATTTTTTTCCCAAAAAATATTAAATCAAACATTTATTTTTTATTTTTTATATTATACTAAAAATCAATTTTACATTAAAAACATCACATCAACACCTATTTATATCACATCATACAACTATTCAAATTCAAAATTTTTACTATTCAAATCCCAACTCAAAATCCAAACCCCCAAACAAACACACCCTTCCAAAATTTTCAATATTGATAAAAGTTTTGCTTACAATCAGGCAACGGTTACGATGCTGAATTCAGTACTCGTAATATATATATATACAAACAACACATAATTTATTACGATAAATATATATTGTGTATAATAAAGATATGTATTGTTTATTCGTTATTATAGCTTTGTTAGTTCATGAACTATTTGTATAATATTTGAGGCTTTTTATTTCTTGAAAATAATATATATGGAGTATTTTTATTTCTTTTCAAAATAACCATTAGATATGACTCCCTTTGTCCCTTATTTAGGTATTCATTTGTTTTTTATATAGAATTTTAAGAATATTAATATTATATTAGGGTATAGTATCAATAAAATAAATAAAATAAAATAAAATAACTTTATTAGTATTGTGTGACATAAATGTGATGGTATTTGTAAAGTATATTGTAAGTTATAAGGATATTTTTAAGGTTAGTAGAAAGTATAGTTACTAAAAATAAAATAGAAATTTTTTTATGGACGAATCAAAATAGGACGTAAGGATATAGAGTATTTAAATACAAAATTTAAATAAAAACTTTTAAATTAAATCCAATGAAATAGACCATCCTATGTATTTACACTGCAAGAAAAAATCAGTTTTGTAACAAAAAATTTTTTGTTTCTAAATCTATTTTTTCCGTTACTAATGACATTAGAGACGGAATTAGAAATGGAATTACGTTAGCTACATGAACTTTAGGGACGGAATTTTGTTACAAATATATTATTTTTTTGTAGTGTCAATTAGTGTTTTAGTTCCATTTTTTTTTTCTTTTTATGATTGACATGAAGTAGGAGGAATAATGTCAATAATTTAAATTTTCATAATTGTTCAAATTTCAAATATTCACAATTTTCAAAAATTCCAAAAGTTTTAAAATTTAGGTCTAAATGAAGCTTTCTAGTCTTTTCAACATTAAATTGGTACATAATTTGATTTGAGGTAAAAATTGTATTTGTTTAGTAGTTCATTTTAATTTGTTTTCTGAATTGAGTTATAAAGATTGATATCGATAAAATAAAAAATACTCTATATTTTGTGATGAATTTTTTATTTTTGGGAAAGAATTAGTGTAACTATTATTTATATTTTGTAGATGTATGTATACATGTATTTTTTTCTTTTTTTTTTTAATATTTATTGGAAATTGTATAAATAATTGTTGGGTGAACATAAGTAAGTTGCACACGGGCGGATTCAAGCAGAAGACAGTGGTGACACGTGACACCAGTGATTTTATTATACCAAAAGAAAATTTTTTATAATTAAATAATTGTGCAACCATTTAAAAATTTGAGTGCTCCCATTTAAAATTTAAATGTCATTTGTTATTCAAAAATATTTTAGTGGATTATTTAAAAATTTAAACTGTCTTGAGTATCCAAATAATTAAAATTCAATCCAATAAAAATAATTAATTTATATTTTAAATAAATAGTATTTTCTATATCATTAATAATAATTTATTTTTATTAATATTAACATTATTATTTTAATATACTCCCTCCGTCCATGGATAAAGTATACATTTACTTTTGGCGCGGAGTTTAAGAAATAATAGTATTTAATTACAGTGAGTAAGTAAAAGTAGTGTAACGACATTTTTGCCCTTGCTTTTTGGTATAAAAGTAATGATGTGATGTAAAGTAAATGTATTTGTGGAAAAAGTGGTGTATTTAATGAAATGGTTACTTTGTAATTGGACGTCCCAAAATAGAAATATGTATACTTTGTAAGTGGACGGAGGGAGTATATTTTTTAATATATCTATTGTGCTACCACTAAAATTTTTTTCTAGATCCGCATAATGCATGGCTTGAAAGGTGCTTAGATGAATATTAATAGAACATGAAAGTGTAGGAAGTTAGTACTGTTTTAAATGCAATTTATAGATCTTTCGATCTTTTATTCTGATATTTTATAGGTGCATAGACATTGGATGTCATTTTTAATATTTTTTTAATTATGAAAAATAGATGTTAAATTGTTTGAAAACATTTTTTTTTTTTTTTGGTGAGGTTAAATAGTAAAATAATAATAGAAGAATTACTCATGTGAACAAACTTTCAATTAAACTCGTGTATGGTTCACTAGTTCTTTTTTATGTATCATTCAATGAAGCATTATATATATACTCCTTCCATCCCAAAAAATATAGTCTTATTATTATTGAGTAAGAAAAAATCAATGTACAGGGTTTCTTGAGAATGAGCTTATAAATTGGATTGATGTATAGTCCAATGAGCCTAATAATGGTAGTAGGGTTTTAAATGAAGTCGGACGAAGAAGGATGAGACGGCCGATACGGAGGTTGGACAAGATGAAGTCGGGCAAAGGAGGATTAGACGGACGAGACGGAGGTCGGACAAAATGAAGTCGGGCCAAGAAGGATGAGACCGCCGATAAGGAGGTCGGACAAGATAAGGTCGGACAAAGAAAGATGAGACAGTCGATACAGGAGTTAGACAAGAGGAAAGTGGGCTTCTAGGGGCCCATTTGGAAGAAAGGTCTGTAAATTGGTCGCTTAATTAAGCCTGTTAATCGCCTGATCGATTGGCCGGTCATTTGGTCAAACAGTAGTTCAGTCGCTTGACAGGGCGGTCAGTTGGTCGCTTGATTGGGCGACCAATGAATCGTCTGGACGAACGGTTGTTCAGCTGTTTGAAGGGATTGGAGGGTGGTCGCTTGATTGGGCGACCGATGAATCGTCTGGACTAATGGTTGTTCAGCCGATTGAAGGGATTGGATGGTGGTCGCTTGATTGGGCGATCGATGAATCGTCTGGACGAATGATTGTTCAGCTGTTTGAAGGGACCGAATGGTGGTCGCTCGAGTGGGCAACTGATTAGTCGTTTGATCTAGCGACCAGTTAGTATCTAGATTGGTCGGTCGGTCAATCGTTGGGTTATTCGGTAGGTTCAGTCGGTGGATGGTTCAGACGATTTCTCAGTCGGATGGTGATTTATGATCCGTCTGAAAAGACGGTTAATGGAAGTTACAACTGGCAAGCGGATCGAACGGTTGAGTAGTCGTTCGGGACCAGCCGTCCATTTAAGGAGGTAAGGTGTCCAGAGGCGGTCGGTCGAGCCAGTTGGGTTCTGAAACTTGTGGGAGCGGTTGGTGAAACAGTTAAAACACGTGTCAATGGATGAGGAATTAGTGGGCGGTTGACGGCGGTTGCTGTAACCGAACAGACGACGGTTCCAAAACGTTTTGTTAAGGAATATTTAAAGATTTGGGTCTGTTTTGAAAAAGCATCTTCGATCGACATCAAATTTAGTGAATTTCTTTTGGGGATCACCATTCTACTTTTACAGTCTGTAGTATTTATTTTTCTTATTTTACTTACGTATCGTTCGGTGTCTAGGGATTCTTAATCTCAACCATTTTATTTTATCAAATTCGAAGATAATTTCTATTTTCGGGTTTTACTTTTTATTGTTGAAAATCGGCATAAACAATTATGTTTGGCACGAGATTTAATGAATATTGATATTATATTGGTAGTTGGTAAAAAGTAATGATAAATGACTTTTTCGTCTTTGTGAGTATATTAGTGTAAAAAGTAGTGGCAATTGTGTAATAATAATAAAAAATAGAGATAGTTTTATGGTGATATGATTATTTATGAAAATGAGACTATTGTTTTGGGGCATACAAAAATGGTAAATAAGACTATTGTATTAAGACGGAGGAAGTATACAGTATTTTATAAAAGTATGTCCGGTTTTGTATATAGTAATTATCATGCTTTTATGTTGTGTTGTTAATTCCGAAATAGTATCAATTCAATAGTTCATAAAGCAACGATTAAGAATCTAGAAAACACTAACTAAGAGTTCAAAAAACACACGTTTTAAATGTATTATATGTTCTCTGGACTCTTTATTAGTGCTACCTGACAAGTTGAATATTTTTTTTGGAGATTTAAACGTTGCTATATAAAAAAATCGGTACAGTGCAGATTTAACTGCAATCATATATTGTATATATATCATGGTTCAATAAATCCAAATACTTTTAGATGATTATTATAATTTTGTTTTAATTATTATTGTTCGAGTGTCACTCTTAGTATTAGATCAAGGTTTTAATCATTAGTATATTGTTAAATAATTAAGTTATAATTAAAGAAGGTAATAACTTCTTATTTTTGCATTTCACCATTCAATCAATAATGATTATCGATTATACATTTTACTTTACATATAAATCCTATATTTGTATTTTTTTTTTTAAAAAAACGTATCATTAATTTATTTATCCGCACACGGAAATATCCAACACGCCCCCTTAGTTGCAAGTGAGGATATGCGAAATTTTCACATGCATATGCGAAAATAGGGAACAGTGAGACTCGATCTTGAGACCTAGGCTTCTGATACTATGTCGGATGCGCAGAATGACCTGGTATCTTTTAGGTGAAACGGTCATTCTGCACATCCGACATAATATCAGAGCCGTAGGCCTCGAGTTCGAGTCCCACCGTCCCCATTTCACATATGTATATGCAAGTTCCGTATATTTCTATTGATGTGTTTCCTTAACAACTTGATCTTTCAGGTGAGACAGTTATTCTGCGCATCCGACAGTAATAAATGAACCTTAATTATTTGTTTAATCCAAATATATATACACATAAGATTGTGGTTAACATGCATATAATACAAACATAATAGTGCATTTTGTATACAA